TCACATGAAGAATGTCAAAGTGCAATCAGAGGACAATAAAGATCGGCTCGAAATATTTAACTCGTTATTTGCTCACAAGAGAAACCGCTCGCGTGATAAGGACCGCCCTAACTGTATCAGTCACTAGACCTTTGATGATGGACGACATACGAATAGTGGGAATACAGGATAAATGCATCGATATTTTATCAGTCCTCTAGTAATATGATTGTGGCTCTGATGTGAGCGGGAGGAGGGTAATAATGATACATCATCTTCACTTGTGTATTACCGAAAACATCGTGCTTCTAGTACAAGCGCGACCAATCACGCTGGAGAATGCAATAAATGGGAACATCGATTTGTCTGTGTTTCACGTGTGGATCGACGCCAAGGCTCGAACAGGATAGTTGGACATCAGACTGACGACACCACGAACCACTATACCTTCCGGAATCACCGTATTCACAGTGGAAAAGGAAAAGTCAACAACAAATCTTTGGTTGGCAGCGGGGGGGGCCAATGAGCGAGAATCGCTTTTGTGATAGATAAGGAACCACGTTGACCTATCAGGTTCCCCGAACCGGTTTATGTTAGAATGTCTACGTTGGCCATAGCCAAAGCCACATGTATTAAACATTTGACACCCGAACTATGTGCCTAGGAGCGTCTTCTCCAAGCTTCCCAACTCCCTCGGGTTCGCGAACCTCCCTTTCCCACACATACATTTTCACACGAAAACACTAATCCCTCAGATTTGAATCACACGAACAACGTGGCTTAACTGAAATCCCCGGAAGAACATGTCTGAGAACGCGGTGTGCAAAACACACGCATACACGAAGTCAATGACTTCTCACATTTTGGTGTTCACCTCCCAACCCCTAGGTTACATACCCTCATATAAACTGTAACGGCATGATTGAAAGTTACTGTTCGCCGGAAACTGTGCTCTAAATTTGAGTGTGGGTATATTTCGAAATTTGATTTTCACAAAAGGACCCATCACCTTTCCTGTCAACCGATAAGATGAAAAGTAACCAACTTCTGTCACCATTGTGAAAAAGCGATGACTGGGTGGTGTGACTAGCATATATGTAAAGCAAAAGGCTGAAATTCTCTCTGATTGTTACTATGCAAACCAGACCGACACTGATTTCACTAGCTCGCTTGAACTCTGATTTGCTGATCATTTTCCGAAAATTCATGGCACGATAGAGGCAAAAAGCGGTCGCAGGATTCCACCCCGTAGTCAGGAAACCAGGAGAGTATAAGGTTGAAAATCAGCGATATGGAACCATGGTTAGCTGCTTGTTCTGCTAGAAGACGGCTTCTCTATCGACCAGCCCCGATTGCATATTTATTCTAATGGAGCTAGATTTGATCTGTAACTCGAATCGAAAGTTTGCATGATGGAACAACAGACCCTCGTGGGTGGTGGTGGTAAAGTGGTTAGGTCACTAACTTGTGACCTGGCAGTCCCGGGTTCGAAGCGCTCCACCGCCGCCTGTCTTCCCAGGCAGCCTTTGTATGGCCGCGAACCCTCTTCCTGAATGTTGACTGTACGTTTGTATATTCAATAAATAAACAACTAAGTAAAAAGTCAAGACACATTACATATCCCATTAGGAGGACAAAGAAATAGTAAAAGACATCAGTCCCATCGAATTGAAAATTCTCGACCCGAAAGCAGCACGTCTGTATACCAGCACCCGAGAAGAGAAACACAGAATAACACGGAAAAAAACAAGCAAAAACTAGGAAACCTTAATTATGTACCCATTCGCCCAATAAGAACCGCATTCACAAGGAAACCTTAAGAACAGGAAGACAAACATTATGATAACCTACTTCGGATGTAATAAATGCATCATGGATGCAGTATTGAACAGCTTTTCTGGCAAAACTTTGGCACCAAGCCGAGCAGAGGCACAGTCTAAAATCTGCATCGAGGATTGTGTCAAAGCAAAGCCTGGATCAATGCTCTCGTCCACTGATTCAGCGCAGGTTACCCCAACAGGAAGATGAGTGGGTGTTCGATTAGGCATACTATAAGGACAATCACCGGCACCAGTTTGATCTTTCCAGCTCGAGTCCCAAGCGCTGTTGGGTTTTCTGCAATTCACACAAGCATTAGACGAAAGTTGCAGGCGACACCCACAAGTGGCACAGACTTTATGCAAACAACTACCAACCAAATGTTTTGATCGACCGTCTGATTCTGCGTTGGCAACGTATGCAACTGGTTTCTGCAGTTGCATAGATAGCGTCTTTACTTCAAACTCTTCATCTTCTAAATTGTCCAGGGGTTTCCACAAGGTGCTTCGATCCAGCCCGATCGCTGTGAACTGGCTTTGTTCACCGGGTGTCAACGAACCACGTACTTGAACATTGGTGGTCGCCGATCCGGTTTTGTCTCGTTGGCGGCCAATGCGGCACATTCGGAATGCGTCAAAAAGAGATCTCCGCTTCTTGGAAGGTGTCAAGAAGTTATGTGGCTGATCTGAAGAAGCCGTGTTTGGAACAGTCGTCCTTTGAACTTCCGGCAGTTTTAATGGCACACGACATTGAAGACAGTCACCGAACCGATAACAGCAACTGACGATACTTTGACAGCCTGGATGTATCTGACGTAATCGTCGACGTCTATTGAGTAATTGGCGACGACGCTCTAAGTCACGTTGTTCATTAGTTCCATCTAGAGCGGGACAAGCAACACGTGGTTCGCCCAACAGCTGACCTCTTTTCTGAGTAGAAATTCCACTCTTTTGATCTGAACTGTCTGGAAAATCCATGGAAGACAAACACAAGCTAGAGTTTGAGGCACCCAGGCCGCATCGATTGCATCGCCAGATGATGTAGCCAACGATAAGGAGACCGATCAACACGAGTACCAATGAAAATGCGATTATACGCTGCCAATTAAAAAGGGGAATGAAAGTGCCAATAGAACTGAATGACGTAACGGAGAGTTCATTGACTGTCTCAAACAGCAAGGTCAGAAAATAATGTAGTATAAGCCTCAGAGTGATCAAAATAAAAATTAATTAACAAACAAGTGTGAAACACATCAGTGGAATACCTCAGCTCAAAAATAAATTCAGACTGATGACAGGAAGCTAGTTCACTGTTCGTATTATCAAAAATGATCGTTTAAGGGAAGAAAACGATACCCTCAAACAATAAACCTGTAAAGAGAAACCAAGTATGACAGAACACATTTGTCCGATTAAATCAGTTTTGACAGAGACTACTGAGGGCGTTAACTCCCACGCCGACACAAAAACAGCTAAAAAAAATAGGTTGTAGGGTTTGACTAACGAAAACCATAAAGAACGTTATTATGAACGGTAGATTAACGACTCTTAGACACCTAAGCAAACATGCTGAGGTGGAATTTGAAACACCTCACAAGTAGCTGAAGTTTTATCATCACATCAGCAGGCAACAACAGCTGTCAGATTGTTCGAATGTAAATCTTACAAACATTGTGTCACACCGAATCAATAACCTGAGGAGAGATCCCACAAAACAAAGAATTCTGCTATTTCACGAGCATGCATGAGACCACACGTGGTCTGTGATACGCAAGAGATTGGCCATTATGTGCTTAATCATATTATTCTTTACAGGAGCTGTTCTAAGTGACAATTTAGCTTGATTACGTTCGCTGATCATGAACTGCAGTGTGAATTCATCAACCCAACCAGATCAAAACAGCTGGCTAGTTCCTTCTAGCTTTTCAGCTCAGGCATCATTTACACAACAAATTCATTACATATACAAATCAACTCATCCACTACTCCCACAACTCTATCAGAAGCCTCAAATAAAATCATGACCCAAATGCATGGATTCAATGATACGATCCGGTTTGGTTCGTCACTTGACATCATCGGGCTTAACTTGCCGGTTTTTATAATCGAAAGATAGATCTCCGAGACTTCAGCTCTTCGACTGCTTGTCATACGATGGCATACAGTCTTCACACATCACCGGTTGGCCTTGAGATTAAGGCCTTGGTTAGCCAAAAGCTCGAGTTGAGTCTCAAAGAAAACTGACAGCCTTGATTCTAACAGGGTTGACGCCCGCGAAAAATTCATAGATTGATTTACTTCCTACAAAGAATTTTGTACCATTATTTGTTTCATCCCGCCTAGAGTCAGGAAATTGTGAAATACGATAAAGTTGGGCAAATGGCCTCCTCATATTCGCTAACTTCGGATGCTATCTATTAGCATCTACCAACGGTTAGCGATTTTATTCAAAAGTCGGGATTCCATTTGTTATAACAATCACGAGGAGACTGCACCTTGACGTGCTGTGATAGCTTGCGTACCTCAATGACCCTGCGACACACACAGGATGGCTTCTCACAGCCGTAGATACAATCATGCTTGAAAGGTCAACGGCTAGAGGTCAGACGAAGCTCAGTCTCACAAGGCCAGCTGCTTGGGCACCTGGCTTCCTTTCTCTATCCACACCAACTCCTGGAGAGGCCACTCCAGCAGACAAACACGGTGAGGGACAGTTTACCGGTCAAAAAACCCCGCTAGATGGACGTAGGAGCGAGTCTATAGAAGCTCTCACACAGGTGCTTCGTTCACGCTCACGCGTTGGATTTACGCCCCACTCCCATGTCGGTCAGACTTCTGAGCCAAAGGCTGCGGTTAGGGTTCCCAAAGAAAAAACCCTTCGTCGGTGTGGACTACAGCGAAGGATGTCGTGCCCTATAGTCTTAGGCACTCATTTGGACAATTATCTTTCTCATCGGTCTACTTCTTCTTCTCACCCCCGAATAATCCCAGATGCCTCCTGCTTATACCATCCATCGAATATCAATCAGAGTTTCACAAAAAAGGCCAGACAATCAGAAAGGATAGGATTTTTAAAGCCAAAATCCCCTTCTCACTTGGTCGCGTTTAATGTCCGCACGCTGTATCAGATCGGCCAACAAGCTTCCCTGGCTAAAACTCTCGAAACTTTCCATGTAGATTTATGTTGTGTCTCCGAAACACGCATACAAGACCCCATTTCATTTATCTCTCTGCGTTCTCCTGATCCAACCTCAATCTCACGCTTCATCCTTCGTGTGTCAAGCGATTCGGCATCCGAAGCTCGCGGTGTTGCTGGTGTCGGGATTGC